GGTTCCTCCCTGCCAAGCCCCTTCAGCAAGCACCCAACTGGTGGGGTCCCTTCCTCGCACGGCAATGAGCAATTGCTTTTCTGCTCATGCCTCTTCCATCACAGCGAACCAGGGCTGGGTGATGGGTGTCTCCCATTTCTTTTACTCCCCGTGGAATAGCATGAGAGAGAGGAAGAAAGAATATGCCTTCAACCCCACGGGCAAAGTTTTAGCGTCTTTTTTTTTCCCCTTGTGATCTGTCTCGCAGCCCAAGCCAAAGCCTAGAGTGTGACTGGTAGACCTTACCCCCACCCCATCTCCTGTTACTGAGGACTCTATGAGGCAAAGACTTTTTTAGGCATACATTGCAGTTATATTGCTGGATCTCAGGAAAAATACACTGGTCAGAAAAGGGCAGAAGATTTCTGCTTCTGGAGGAAAAGGACTTTGCTTGGGCTTGCATCAATGTCTTACCCATCCCAAACAGAGTCTGTAGATGGCATGTCTTAGTGTGCCCCTGCAAAAAAAGGACAAGCCCTGATCATAAGTAGCCCCCAGACACGATACAGAAAGAGTGAGGACATGATAATCAAAGATAGGACTTTGCTTTGGGAGGGACAAGAGGATTTGCAAACTCCACCAGAATAACCCTGCAGCCAACACACATCTGTAGCTGTCTAAAATGCCTTTTAGTGCCTAATTTACATCACTGCTTAAAGAAGTGACCCCCCAGAAAAACTGAAGCTAATCTTGCTTTTTCTTAAATATACGAGCAGCTTCAGACTACTTATTGTGTGCTGCAGAGAGTGCAGACACCTCACAAAATCCCAGATATTTCAGCAGGTTTTTTGAAGGCTTACGCTGCAAATCTCTTTCAGATCAACAGCAGGTTATAGAGGAGATGGGCATAGCAACGGTGGATAGACAGTCCTTTTCTTGGGGTGGGGTGGGGGGGAACCCTGTGCTGAAAACTGCAGCCTCATGCAGGCAAATTCCCAGCAAAAGCTTTGCATAAAGAACTTGTGACATGAGTGGAAGGACCTTAGAGGTTCTGCTAAATCTCATTAAGTCTTAAAGTAGCCACATGAAAAAATTAAGTAAAAGGAAACCTCTTTAAAAGGAGATTTATGCTGAGAAGCTGGAATCCCTCTCGACTCACTAACTGCCTGGAGGTTGGGCGTCTCCTTTCAGCTGGTTATATGTGCTCCTTACCCTTTGGGGCAGAGGAACAGGTACCTCTGCAGGGTGAAGTGGGTTAAGGATGGTTTATTCTGCAAGAAGTGGGGTGGATTACCTCCTAGGAGCAATTACGAATTTAAGATCTGGGTTGCTGGGCTTTTGTTGTTGTTGTTAATATTATATTTCCCCATGCAAATACACCGTGTTATTTAAATCTGGGGAAGTCCTTTGGCCAGTGCTGTCCAGGAATCTGAGGGAGATGGATACCCTTTCATCCCATCTTCTCCTAAATCTCGGAGGCAGTTAAGGTGAGTGAGGGACAGAGCTGCATTCTGTTCCGAGCCCCATCACCTCCTTTTGCCTCTCGCTACGAGTAGGTCTAACTGCATCACCTAGCTTCTGTCTAGATTCCCTGGAGAAAGGTGCTGCTGGAGTGTGAGCATCTCATCTCACCTCCTTCAGCCGCTTTGGAGAGGGGCTGATTGATGTTTTGGAGGCATCCTTCCTATCTTACCTTCCATTGAGTCTGTTTTGGACCCACCCAGCTGTGGTTGCGGCA